GGCGCGCATGCGCCCCGTCTGCTGCTGCCTGTTCCCAGGGTTCCGGAGAGCCGGGGTGGAGTCGAAGGTGTTGCTCCGGAGGCCCGCCTAGCCCTTGCTACCCCAGAAGTCGGGGTTCGGGTGCGGTCTGTCCGCCTAGAAGGTTGGAAGCAGCTGCCCGGCGCCAGCTCTCCGCCACTCTTCTATCTTTGCGCATGGAAGTCTCCAAGAGGGCATCTGGGAACCGGCGAGTTGAACTGGGGGCCTTCGACCCGGAAGAGGCAGGAAGTCGGGGCCCCGGGCTTCCTTTAAGGCGGCCGGGGGTCACTGAGCCCCAGTGGCCCGGCGGGGAGCTTTGGGTAGGCTTACTGCCTGGGGCAGGGAGGCCAGGAGCGCAGGATGTTTGGCAGGTTGGTTTTGTTTGGCAGCCCGGGCGCCTGCACTAGCGGCTACAGTGGTCAGGCCACCAGCTTCTAGGTGGCCCCACTTTCGGGCTCTAGCAGGGGCTGTCAGTCTTTGCTTGTCGAGAGGCTTAGCCCCTGGGTAATCCCCGCAGATCAGTGCCAGCAGGTTTCCTGCCTTGTTCACATCTATTCCAAACAACCTGTTGCGCTGACATTGCTTTGCAGAGGCGCGGGCGCTTTGCTGGAGGGAGGAGACTGTGTGGTGGTCCCAAGCTTTCAGGACAGGCTGTGGGGTTCTTTCTTAACGAGAAGCACCCCTCTCCCTCTCCAGTGACTTCTGGAGTTCTTCACACTAGCCTGCGGTCCCAGCAGCTCAGGGCGTCAGGGGCACCTTTGTACCTCACTTTCTCTGGGGTCGCCTCCTGTAATCCTTTGTACTTTGGGTAGCAAGATTAGACAAAGACCCGGATTAGAGCGACACCGCAGCAAATTCCCGCCCCCCCCCCCTTTAATTCCCCAGCTTGCCTCCCTCAACTCTCCGCAGCCAGACAGAAATCTTTGGTGTGTAAGCACCGAGAAAAGAAAGTTAGCGCTATATTCGCGCTTCTGTCTTAGAGGGACCGACACTTGGGGGATTCTCTCTCCTAAGATGTGTTTTTGAATTGTTTCTAATTTGGAGTTTCTCTCCACCCGCTGCATAGGCTCTCCTTTAGCTTCTTTCTTGGTTTGAGACGCAGGGCGTCTGGACAATAGCTAGTCACCTACAGCTGGAATTTAAGAATACTGGGTTGATCCAGTTGAGCAAGCTTTGACATTAAAAAAACAAAACAAAAAAACAAAAAAACGGGCACGCACTCTCTCTGGATGAACTCAGAAAAAAAATCATGTCCCACTAACTGATCTGAACTAAGAATAGAAAATTTTAAAAAGTGCCACTTCCAAATGAAGGGCGCTTGGCTGCAACTTTACAAAGAGCACAAGTGCATACAATTAAATATTAGGGCCCAGCAATTAGCATTTGTAACAATAGCAAATGTGTTACTCCTGGCAGAAAAAAAAAGTTTTTCCGTACTTTTGAAACCGTACTTGACGCCTCATTTCTTTGATGACTGCTCAATAGACACCCTGAAACAGTAGCGGGGCTGCTCCATCCTCTGCGCGCCTCTGGCTTGCGGGGCTTTCATCCAGGGCTTGAATTGTGTTGTCAAAGTTTAGTAGACAGAGGAGGGGGCATGAGAACGGGAGGGCGTCGTGAAAAGTCTTGGAAATCAGTATATTTTGCAGGTGTAGAATGTTCCTAATAGCCATGGCTAGTGTGTGCTCCCCAGTGGTGAGGCTATGACAAGGACAGCTGGCTAGTTTTCAGTGTGAAAACACCCCTTGGTGGAGCAGACACAGCGACACTGACCTTTCTGCGGGGGAACCAGAGATGTGCCTTTGACTGAATTAGCCACAAAGGCGTCTTGCTATGACTTTTGTTCACCACGAAAGCAAAGAAATATTGCGTTTAATATGAAAAGTACTGTTCACAGCTTTTCCGTGCCCCGTAAGAAGTATCACAGTGCTGATTTACTAGCTGCCTTCTCCAGAGCTGGCTGGTCGCAGGGCTGGCTGGGGTGGAGGGTGGGGACAGAACGGTGGGGGCAGAGCAGGAGGAGGCGGAGTTGTTAAGTTAAATTGTCTGTTGTTGTTTCCAAGTTCTCTCTGTGGAGCAGCAAATTTATCAATCTTTTCATCTGACAATACTTTGAAATATATCATTGTTACCCAGGTTGTTTGATAGATCATCTGTAGGCACGCAGCCTTTTCCAAGGTCAAGTTGAAGATTCTTGTTTGCTATTTAACAGACTTGTTTAAAAACTCAGAACAATGCCTGCCTGTTAAATTTTCAGTTGTTCTCATGGGATATTGGAAAGCAAGATTTCCTAATGAGTGGTTCTCTAGACACTCCATCTTTTTGAGTTAAATTCAGCAAGCAGGGTTTTGGCAATCAGATCAACAGTAGGAAAAATGAGATTTAACCTTACATCTTGCAGATACAGAGATTAAAGCCTTCTTTCCTATCTCTTCACACCTTGTACAACTGTTTACGTGTGTCAATAGCTGACCATGTCCAGTTTTCTAATTTTATTCCACTGGGAAGCTACAAACACACGCTTCTAAAGCAGAAAGTCACAGAAATTGTGGCAAGGCTTGTGGGGTTTTGTTGTTTGTTTGTTTGACAAAGCACAGCCTGTTGTTTTAAAGCTGCTGTAAAAATAAAGCCAATTGAAAATTATGTTTATGGGCATACTTATTTCTGTTTTAACTCTCACGACTGGCTTCACAATTTTTCTCTATATTTGTAATGATTGATTTTTTTTATTCAACTAACTTTTATTTACCTTGCAATAATGTTCTGGACCAATGTGATAAATTACAGATATGCAAATTTCTTTGAATGGTGTTGTAAGTGTGTCTAGCTGGAGCTGAATGACTCCTTGCAAGTCAGTCTGTGCGCGCTCAGGACCCCAGGGAGCTGATCAAAGCACCCATTCTCTTTCATCCCCAGTATTCTCCTCCAAACTATTTCGATACAATATGTTTCCATGATGCACTTAATGTGCTAGGGACATAGAACTCATTACAACCTAGCTAGTCCTGCCTACCTCTTT